GTCAGTGTGAATGCACCATTAACTCCCTATGCAGACAGTCAGACGTCTCAGAGCAGACCAGCACATCCTCAAAAATAAATGAAAACAGCTCCAGTTAGTAGGACTGTGCGGTTCATTGAATTTGAGTTTTATGAAACGATTATGAAAACATGATAATCAAGACAGAATGACTCCGCATGCTGCATTCCATTCCTTTTATTTCTTTGATAGCGGTGAGCTTTTGCGCCGCCTTAAAAAGTCCAAACTTAACATCCAAATCAGTCAAATCAGACAAATGGCTATTGTAAAATGCAGTCTCCTGAAGGACATGCCTGATATTAAGAGTTATTAAAAGCGTACTAAGCTGCGAGAGAGAACTTACGCTGTGCTTACACAGCGGCTTTCTGAGCGATATAAATGCAATTCTGAGAAAAAAGTCAGAATTGCAAAATATAAACCCTTTTTCTTGCAATTTTGAGTTTATATTTCACAATTCTGACTATATATATATATTAGGGATGCACCGATACCGGTATCAGTATCGGGCCCGATACTGAGCTCCTGTACTCGTACTCGTACTCGTTAAAATGCCCCGATTTATTTTCAATTCGCATACACGAATTTTTGGCAAAAGTGAATCTAGCAGCCTGTGTGAAATGCGCTAGGCTGTACTATTCTGCATCAATACAAATACGTGCACGCGTTGCGCGTGTTTTGCTTGCTTGAGTGTTTCTGCATTATAATCTATTTGATAAATGAAGTTAACCAACTAACATTATACATACTCTTTTGGTTTCTGTACCCAATATTTAAAAAAATTACAAATGCAATAAAAATATTGGTATCGGTACTCGGTATCGGCAAGTACCAAAAATAAAAGTATCGGTATCGGGCGAATACTGGAAAAAGTGGTATCGGTGCATCCCTAATATATATATCATAATTTAGAGTTTTTTTCTCATATTTGTGAGAAAAAGTGTCATAATGATGAGATATAAACTCAGAATTACGAGAAAAAAGCAAGAGTTGAAAGAAATAAAGTCGCATTTACTTTTTTTATTATTATTGTTATTTTATCCCATGGTGGAAACAAGCTTCCATATTAATGTAAATCAGCCAAACAAAAGAAAATGAGAAAATCGATCACTGCTCTTAACTGTAACTTTAAAGGGTTAGTTCACCCAAAGATGAAAATTCTGTCATTAATTACTCACCCTCATGTCGTTCCAAACCCGTATGACCTTCGTTCATCTTCAGAACACAAATGAAGTTATTTTTGATGAAATCTGAGAGCTTTCTGACCCTGCATAGACAGCAATGCAACCGACACCTTCAATGCCCAGAAAGGAGGTAAGGACATCGTTAAAATAATCCATGTGACGTCAGTGGGTCAACCGTAATTTTATATAGCAACGAGAATAGTTTATGTGCGCAAAGAAAACAAAAATAACGACTTTATTCAACAATTTCTTCTCTGCCATGTCTCCACTGATGTCACATGGACTATTTTAACAATGTCTTCACTACTTTTCTGGGCCTTGAACGTGTCAGTTGCGTTGCTGTTTATGCAGGGTCATTAAGCTCTCGGATTTCACCAAAAATATCTTAATTTGAGTTCCGAAGATGAACGAAGGTCTTACGGGTTCAATAGGCATGAAGGTGAGGAATTAATGACAGAATTTTCATTTTTGGGTCAACTATCCCTTTAAAGGGGTCATATGACGTTGCTAAAAAGAACATTATGTTGTGTATTTGGTGTAATGCAATGTGTTTATGCGGTTTAAGGTTCAAAAAACATTATTTTCCACATAATGTACATTATTGTTGCTCCTCTATGCCCCACCTTTCTGAAACGCATTGATTTTTACAAAGCTCATCGTTCTGAAAAGAGAGGTGTACGCTGATTGGCCAGCTATCCAGTGCGTTGTGATTGGCTGAATACCTCAAGCGTGTGACGGAAATGTTACGCCCCTTAACATACTGTGATGCTCTGTGACCCGGCGCAACAAGACAAAAACAATAAAACCCATTACAAACGAGGCATTTGTTGCATCCAGTGGAGATATAATTACTGATTATAATGACTTATACTGTCTTTTTACGCGTTGCGTTGC